ATTTCTCCCAGTCACATCTAAATTCCAGCTCCCCTGCTTGCTCAGTGCAAAGAGAACCCTCACAAAAACCAGCCGTGATGCCACAAGGAAGGTGAGCCGTCCCTGATTTAACTCCTCCTGCTTGTTTTGGCCTCAGCCTTCCTCATCCAGGCTACGGGCTCCTCTTCTGTTTGTAAGGAAAAGGCTGTACATTCCAGTTTGGGTGACAAATTCAGCTTTTCTTTTTTTTTAAATAGATCAGGAACAGGCAATCTCAGCTTTTGTAGATGAATCTAAAAAATAACAAGGAAGGTGAGCCGTCCCTGATTTAACTCCTCCTGCTTGTTTTGGCCTCAGCCTTCCTCATCCAGGCTACGGGCTCCTCTTCTGTTTGTAAGGAAAAGGCTGTACATTCCAGTTTGGGTGACAAATTCAGCTTTTCTTTTTTTTTAAATAGATCAGGAACAGGCAATCTCAGCTTTTGTAGATGAATCTAAAAAATAAGGGGCTGAATATTATCTAGAGAACGGGTTTTAAAATTGATTCTCTCTTCCTACATAAATTGTAAACAAGTAGAAAATTTAAATAGTATTTTGTAAAAAAAGCCAGGACAATGCAAGTTATACAAAAATCACTCTTCCCTGCCTTTCTCTTCCCCTCCACCCTCCCACCCCATCCCAACAACTGAGCCTGAACTGTTCTGCTAAGAGCTGCTCATCATCAGAGGAGTTTCTTTTCCATCTCCTACGTTGCATTTCCAGTGTGATATTTCCAAGCGCCCGCCGATTCCACACGGGTGTCCTTTATCCAGCATTTCATAGGCATCCCCTGCCCCTGCACTCCAGGAACACACACATCAGGTATCTAATCAGAGAGGGGTGGAGGAATTCCTTCAATATTCACGAGTTCCCTTATGCCTGTGAGAAGAAATCTCAGCGTGACCCCGCCAGCGAGTTTTCACAACACCTACCGACATGCAGAGCCATCGGAGGGAAGGGGAGGAGTATTTTTCTTTTCAACAAAGAATAAGAAATTCAGCAATGGTGCCTGATGAGTAACAGTTATTGAATAAATAATTACCTACAGAGAGGTTCAAATGAGGCAACCAGCTTTTTTACTCAATGAATTCAAGCTCGCTGAACACTCTTTAGCTCTGATGCAAGCACAAGAACGCTGGCTTCAACACGAAGAAGCCAGTTTTTGGCTTCCTGATGGATAAAAATCAGCACCCGATGAGAGGCATGATAATACTGAGCGTTGTCACATCACTGAGGAAGGGAACCACGAGCCAGGTGACCACGTCGACTGCTCCTCTCCCAGGAAAGCGGCTCAAGCGCTGGTGCCGTCCTCTTCGATGACGCGGTTCATGCTGGTCCCGTGCGTGATGTGTGTCAGGGGGTTGCTGCTGAGATCCCTGATGCTGCTGTGACGCGACTGTTCGTTCAGCCGATGAGAACTGCTGTGCCTGGAATGATCAGTCAGTCGTGACATGCTGCCGTGAGGTAGTCTTTCCTCTACGCCTCTGTAGCTGCAGGGAGTGTACCTGATTTATAAAACCAGAGGACAATTAGTACCATTGTTACTGCTGAAGCCGTGGAGGAATGTAAATAAATCTCACACGTGCACACAAACCCTCTGCTTGTGCAAAAAGTGCTTCTCTGTTGAGCTCAGTCATTTCACTTACCCAGCCCCCAGGCAATTTGTTTCAACTCCTTCCACAGCCTGGTTCTTACTACAGCACTACGTACAATACTGATAATCATAGAAACATAGAATGGTTTGGATTGGAAGGGACCTTAAAGATCATCCAGTCCCAACCCCCCTGCCAGCAGCAGGGACACCTTCCACTAGACCAGGTTGCTCAAAGCCTCATCCAACCTGGCCTTCAACACTTCCAGGGAGGGGGCATCTACAACTTCCTTGGCCAACCTGTTCCAGTGTCTGACCACCCTCACAGTGAAGAACTTCTTCCTAATATCTCATCTAAACCTCCCCTCTTTCAGCTTAAACCCATTTCCCTTTGTTTTGTCATTAACTGCCCTTATGAAAAGTCCCTCCCCAGCCTTCCTGGAGCCCCTTCAGGTACTGGGAGGCCGCTATAAGATCTCCCTGGAGCTTTCTCTTCTCCAGGCTGAACAGCCCCAACTCTCTCAGCCTGTCCTCACAGCAGAGCTGCTCCAGCCCTCAGATCATCCTGGTGGCCTCCTCTGGACTTGTTCTAGCTGCTCCAGGTATCTCTTGTGATGGGGGCTCCAGAACTGGACACAGTATTCCAGGTGGGGCCTCATGAGAGCGGAGTAGAGGGGCAGAATCATAATTAGGTGAGTAAAACACTTGAGGATAAATGAAACCTGAACTACACCTCAAGTTAGAGTCAGTACCTTCTCTTACTGTTTCCTTTGGCAGGGCTAGGACTATTTATAGAAAGAAAATCAATTAACACACAAAAATTAGCCACCAAAATACTGAGCTGACTTGGGGACAGCTCTGCTTTCCTGTGCGCTCAGGTGACGTAACGCGGTCCTGGCAGGAAAACCAGCGCTGAACACGCTCACCCCGTCTAATTGATGAAGACTGGCATAAAGTCTGAAAAAAATCATGGGATTTTTTTTTCCCTTTCCAATCCAGACACTGAGAGGGAGAGGAGATGAAATCAGAGAAAGTCAATATTAGCAGAACTTCCAGTTTTGGCAACATGACAGACAAATGTCCCACTAGCAGAGGCTTGTCCAATATTCTACAAGATTTTCATACAATCACAGGATGGTTTGGGTTGAAAGGGACATAAAAGACCCCCCAGTTCCACCTCCCCTGCCAGCAGCAGGGACCCCTTCCACTACACCACGTTGCTCAAAGCCTCATCCAACCTGGCCTTCAACACTTCCAGGGAAGAGCAGCCACAGCTTATCTGGACAACCTGGGACACTGTCTCACCACCCTCACACCAAACAATTTCTTCCTCACATCTCAGCTCCATCTCCCCTCTGACACCTCCAAGCCATCACCCCTTGTTCTCTCACTCCCTGCCCTTGGCCAAAGTCCCTCCCCAGCCTTCCTGGAGCCCCTTCAGGTACTGGGAGGCCGCTAGAAGGTCTCCCCGGAGCCTTCTCTTCTCCAGGCTGAACAGCCCCAACTCTCTCAGCCTGTCCTCACAGCAGAGCTGCTCCAGCCCTGGCATCACCCCCATGTCCCTCCTCTGGACTGGCTCCAGCAGGTCCACGTCTTTCTTGATTAAAGATTTTAAACCTACCGGCCGTCACGCGATCGGTGCAGGCTGCCATGGTAGCTGCTCACTTTGCTGTGGACGCTGCCTGCCTTGCTCCTTTGGTCGTCCAGCATGGCCAGCTGGGTGGAGGAGGCGTGAGTCGAGGTGCCCTGGGTCGAAGTGCCCCGTGACTTTCGGATGATGGGGGTATTGGGATCTCTCAGAAGAGACTGAGCAAAGTCGGGCTCCTGCAGCACTTGACGACTCTCATTGACAACTCTGAACGAGACGTGCAATTAGAACAGTTAACAATGATGACTGCAATATAAAAGCGATCGCAAAACTGCCTGTAATTGTTCTACAGATGGAACAGACAAATATCACAGCTTGGCAAAGAAAATAATCACAGAATTGTTTGGTTGGAAAAGACCTTTGAGATCATCAAGCCCAACCGTAAACCCAACACTGACAAGTCCCCTATGACTAACCCATGTCCCTCAACACTGTGTCCACACGACTCTTCAATCCCTCCAGGGATGGGGACTCCACCACTGCCCTGGGCAACCCCTTCCAATGCCTCAGAACCCTTTCAGCAAAGAAATTCTTCCTCACATCCCATCTCAACTGCCCTGGCCACAACTTCAGCCCATTTCCTCTTGTCCTGTCCCTTGGGCCTTGGTTGAACACACCCACCCCCACCTCTCTCCACCCTCCTTGCAGGGAGATATAGGTTCTAGTGTCCCCATTTTCCGTATTTTGAAGCACCTCTACATTTGGATATTTTCACAAAGTCCATATTCCTGACTCCCTCCTACTCCCTGTATCTGATCCTCTGGCCTAGATGGTTGGAATAATGGCAGCGGATTTGCTCATGGCCTTTGTTTGAGAATTTTGATACAAGAAAACCCTGGGGATAGAATCATAGAATCATAGACTGGTTTGGGTTGGAAGGGACCTTAAAGCTCATCCAGTTCCAACCCCCCTGCCATCAGCAGGGACACCTTCCACTAGATCACGTTGCTCAAAGCCTCATCCAGCCTGGCCTTCAACACTTCCAGGGAGGGGGCATCTACAGCTTCCTTGGGCAACCTGTTCCAGTGTCTGACCACCCTCACAGTGAAGAACTTCTTCCTAATATCTCATCTAAACCTCCCCTCTTTCAGCTTAAACCCATTTCCCCTTGTTCTGTCATTAACTGCCCTTAGGAAAAGTCCTTCCCCAGCTTTCTTGTAGCCCCTTCAGGTACTGGAAGGCTGCTATACCCTTCAGGTATTGGAAGGACAGCGCTGGGACTCGGCAAGCTCAGAGTACTCAGGGAACTGCCTCTGCGGGAACACGGGGAGCTGCCTCCTCACTCAAATGAGTGTTTAAAACATGGATCCAAACTGGCAGCAGGAGATCCCCAGATGAAATACAACATATCTCATAACGCATAAGCAGCTGGGCTGTAGCCCTTCAATCAGTGGTTATTGTCCCACAGCTTCTCTCTGTGCTGGGAAGGGCTGGCAGAGGGCACACACTTGGCTGCTCTACCATAGCATGATGAAAGGAGGTGCTGCCACATCCTGGACATTCCTTTCTTGGTTTTTAATCTCTTTTTGTGGGGAGGCCTTTTCCTCCCTTCTCATTCTCTCTATTATTCTTTCATGTTCCATTTCCTCTGCCTGGTCAGCTCCTCCTCTTCATTTTTGGGCTCTCAGAAGATCTCAGGCTACCTAAGGAGGGAGGTTTGTGTTGGCTTTGCCTCTTACTGCTCAACGCATGGTGCCGGCAAAGGAATCCAGCTCCAGCCAGATGCTGCCGTGTGTGGGAGCTGCTCCATGGTCTAGTTGCACCAGGAGAGAGGATGGCACTTCCAGGAGCCACCTGAGATAGCAGGTCCAAGATAAGCCAGTCCTGTAAAACAGCTTCCTCTGCCTTCGTTAACTCTCTGCCTATCCTCTACCCATCACACCCATACGTTACCTCTATGTAAATCATATCTAAATGTATGCACAGGTATTAAAATCATATGAAGTTGTTGTTAACCCCGTGCGTATCTAAGTAGGTTATCTTCTGAATAAAGCTCTAGAGAAGGTAATTTTACTGTAACCTCAGCAGAAGGCCAGTTCTGCTAAGGATGGCTAAGTTAAAGTCATGGAGCAGTTCACTTAAAGGCTCGTGGTATTTGTGGATCTCTTTTGAAACATCTGCCTAAAAGATAATATTTATGATTATGAGAATAGCTATTCATAGATTCATAGAATCGTTTTGGTTTTAAGATCATTGAGTCCAACTATAAACCCAACACTGCCAACCACTAAACCATGTCCCTAAGCACCACATCTACATGGCTTTTAAATACCTCCAGAGATGGTGACTCCATCACTGCCCTGGGCAGTCTGTTCATGGAATAATAAAATCATTAAGGTTGGAAAATAATTATACAATAATTAAGGTTGGGAAAGAATTATAGAATCATTAAGGTTGGAAAAGACCTCAAAGATCAAGTCCAACCGTCAACCCAACACCATCATTGCCACTAAACCATGTCCTGAAGTGCCATGTCTACATGTTTTTTGAACACCTCATATAGATTGTCTCTAAATTATGTTGTACCTTAGAATAAATCAATGTCAGCCTCACAGAAGTTCTAGGACATTCTTATTGGCATTTTATCAAATTGTGCTTTGGCACTAACGCATAAGGGAAGATTTTAAAAGGAGAGACAATTGCTTTTAACTGCAATCGTGGTGGAAAGAACTTATGTTTCATTTCAATTTAAAGGTCTGATGCAGTTGACTAGATAAGCACATTTATGAATAAAACATTTCAATTCCACCTCAGTAAATGGCAGAGAATCATAAAGTCATAGAATGTTGTGAGTTGGAAGGGACCCACCAGGATGCTGGAGTCCAACTCCTGTCCCTGCACAGGACAATCCCAACATTCACACCATGTCCCTGAGGGCCTTGGCCAAATGCTGCTGGAATCTTGTCAGGCTTGGTGCCATCAGCACCTCCCTGGGGAGCCTGTTCCAGTGCTCCACCACCCTCTGCCTCAAGAACCTTTTCCTCACGGCCAACCACAACCTCCCCAAGAAGAAGTTGTGGTATTCAACTGACACCTAAATCTTGTTTAAAAACACTTTGAAAACAGCTAGAGCAATGTAAATTTGATTCTGGGACCAAGGAATAATTATGGAAAATTAAGCGATAACTCTTGAGGGTTTTTTTAAGCTGTCCCTTGTCTCATCCTCCCTTGCTCCATTTTGAATAGTGAGGGATCTCTAAGAAAGCTGCCCCTTATCTGCTCCTGTCTTTGCCTCCATGAAAAACTAACCAAACACTCTTCCAGAACTACAAGGGCAGAGGGGATTTACTAGTACTCATTCCATTTCTCTATGAGATATCAGTACTCACTCTTTTTTCCTGCGTCCGTGGAAAAAGCTAGCCCACTCAAAACAAGTCTTTTTACTTCCAACCCAGAAGACAGAGGGTATCCCAACAACCAAAGCCATGAGATATTTCATGAGAAAGAGAATCAAATCTGGACGACTCATCTGAGTAACAGGAAAAAAAAAAAAAAACAAACAAAAAAAGATAACAGAAGATAATACAAACCAGCATAGTTCACTACTCCATTTATTAACTCATTTAAAATAACTGTCTTTGCCTTGAGCCAAAATAAACATCAACAGGGTTCCTTTGTTCCATGTCTCTGGAGAGCATGACCGAGTGTGTCGTACAGCCCGCTGTTGAGGAAAACAAAAGATTCAGCTGCTGGGAGGTCCTGGCCTTTATTTATATTTCTTGGTCTTTTGTCTGTGCCCTGAATAATTGTGAATTATTTTCTAGTCTACAAATGATAAAGATTTTTCTTTTCTTTGATGGAATTAACCTACATAAAACCAGGCGCTACATTTGTTGTTGGATAAAGTCCTGATGAAATGCTTCCTGGGATGTTCAATGCTGATTTTTTTTCTTCCTTAACTTTCAGTGGAGGGTTATACCTGCAGTTTCCTTCCCTCCAGAACTCAAGGGTTTGGCTTGATTCTTACTGACCTGGCAAAACTCCCACCTCTCTCCCCAGTTATTCAACAGGATCAATTGAATTTGAAAAAGCTCACCATGTCTATTTTTGCAAACATTTGGATATGCAAAGGGTTCCTTTGGAAAAGATGCAGAGAAGATACAAAGATATCATCTCCAGGAAGGTCTGTAAGGTAGGTTTCAAACAAATAGGCATCCAGGCACTCTCTTGAATTGATAATCCAGCTCAAATACTCAACCTTCAAGGACAGAGAACTTCAAGTATAAGCCTTAAAGATACCACCACCTTCTTACAAGAAGGCTGTAGAGCAAAGGAATTATACTTATTCTGGTGTAATTAAGTCCTCTGTAAACATCTATGCAACACTGTCACTAACTCTGTGACCATGGAAGGTGTTCTAGATCTCAAACATCCACTGGCCATTAAAGGACTTGGGGTATAGGAAGAGGTTCCCTGCTTTTCATCACAGCAGAAGGAGAGCTGGTCAGAAAACCTCAATGAGAGATCAGTCAAAAGACTCAACAGTCAGTAACCATGGAAGACAATAAAAGTGCCTACAGCAAGGTTGAGTCTGAAGGGATGAGTCTGCAAAACAACTTAGAAAATTTTATTATAACAGGCGATGAGGACTAGAAACAGAGAGGAGACAATAAACATGAACAAAGAAGAATCTGAAAAAAAATGAAAAATAATCATAGAATCATAGACTGATTTGGATTGGAAGGGACCTTAAAGATCATCCATTTCCAACCCCCCTGCCAGCAGCAGGGACACCTTCCACTAGACCACGTTGCTCAAAGCCTCATCCAGCCTGGTCTTCAACACTTCCAGGGAGGAGGCATCCACAGCTTCCTTGGGCAACCTGTTCCAGTGTCTGACCACCCTCACAGTGAAGAACTTCTTCCTAATATCTCATCTAAACCTCCCCTCTTTCAGCTTAAACCCATTTCCCCTTGTTTTGTCATTAACTGCCCTTTAAATGAAGCCAGCCAGGGACCAATAGAGACTGTGAATGATAAGCAGATGATGTGAAAGGACGGAAGACACGATGGCAAGAGCAGAAGGCAGAGTGTCCCAGGTTGGCCAGAGAAGCTGTGGCTGGTCCTCCCCGGGAGGGTTTAAAGCAA